GGCGGTCGCTAATAGTCGTAGGACGGTTTGGCCTAATAGACTGCGCACAAACAAACTACTCCGTGAGAGGTGAACTCGCACGGATGTTGTTGCTGGCGTTACGAACTTTCTCGCCGAATCGATAATGGAAAGCTCGCATGACACTCGTGTTCGATTGTCATGCGAGCTTTCCATTTTTTTAAACGGCACCAGAGAATTAAATCAAGTTTTCATCGAGTGAAGTCATACGGAGAGATTTATTATTACAGCTATAAACAAGTTTTAATTACGGACAGTCAGAAATAATGACTAAAAACTGAACACGATTAATCGATATTTTTACCAAAGTCGTTTGAAAAATTTGCTAGCCGCAAGCCGTGGTTTCGTTCCGAAAAAAAAAATACAATGTCTCTTAACATCTCTTAACAGTCGTAAATACGTTTTTGTTTGCGAATCGATAAATTATAATTACTTAAATCGATGAATTATAATTACATAAAAAATTGAGAACATTTACATAAAACATTTTTTTTATTGTGTTGTGCAGCATTTGAAATTGAATAAATTGAATTCTAGCTCGTGAAAGACAGAAAAAAGACAGTATCAAATTTCCACAGCAACCGTATAAAATAAATTGTTTTTATCCGAAAACCGTGTAGGTCGCGCTACTATTTTGTTTTTAGAGTACATAAAAATAATCGGTTTTTTGTTTGTCTTTGGTCAAATTTATTTTACATTTTCGGGAGCAAATTCCTATGATACACTTTTTGTACATACAGCTGACGTACTAATTACAGATACGGATAAACGCTTGCACTTATTTCGTTGCTTACTTCGTCCGAGTGTAGGAAGAGTTTTCATTACGCAATATTAGCTACGTATTATGCATCGCGGCTTTTCATAACTTTCAAGAAGTTTTAATAAAACAGAAAGATATTGCATTCTTTTCAGAACAAAGTCGCCGTTTGCCGGCCAGTTGCGCGAATTTCTGAAGTGACTTTAATGAAAGCATCGATTAATTCCATGTTTAAGAGTAACCGCACCAGAGACTGTTTATCACAGCACATTGCGATGTTCGTGGACGGCAAACGCCACTAACGATTGTTATGTTGGAATAATGGTAAACCGTGTAAAAGAAACAACTTTTTTCCTGGTCTTCTCCATGTTGTCTACAAAAAAAAAACGAAATGCGGGGCTGCGCGCAAACAATACGGGACGCTTTTGGACCACGTGTAAACAATTTTTTTACCGCTGCCACATATACCGTTATTGTGTTCCCCGAATGCATAATATTTCCGCATATTATATATTATTAATCCATACACTGTATTATTAATATATATTAGGAAAATTGTACGAGCGGTGCTATTATTATTAATTTTACGCTCTTTTATACTTTTAGTTTTGTTTATTTCGAGAAAGTGGCAATCCGGTTTCACAATGTTTAGCTTTTATCATGGCAGAATTTTCTTAGCGGTTTATTAAAACTTTAAATTAATTTTGGAATCTGCACTTGTTGTATATACAGTATTTAACAGCAAATTCTACAATTGGAACAGTGCCATTTTTGTACGTCGGTAATAATATGTCAGTGCTCGTGCTTTCCTTTTTTATCAATTATATACAACATTTTTATCATAAAAAGCATGCTTTTTAAAGAAAAATAGAAAAAATAATCAAATATTTATTTCTTTCAAAATTTTACCACAAATTTAATTAGATCTCTTTCCAAGAATCAAAAATCATTTTCTCTTGTTTCTTTCTTTCTGTCTCTCACCTTTCTTCGTAAAGCTTATTTATTTTTGTCCATTTGCCAAGCTAGCGAATAAAATTATATGTTTGTGATTTTTCTTTGTACTTTAATGTAGACTTTAATGTAGTTGTCAATATATCGCGGTCTCTTCTTACATCCACGAGAAACATCGATCCTTGTTTCCGGGCAAAAGCATTACATCCGACGATCGATAATCCAATTAATCCGCACTACCTCGCTCTAGTAATCTGGCCCCGGCGCGCGCGAGTGTAATTAAGGAGTGGGATATAAATCGCATAAAGAGCACTGGCGGCGGTTGCAAAATCGACGCGGCGTATTCAGCCCGTGAGTTATACATGATGTGCGGTTTCGGGAAAATGTTTCGCAAAGAGAAAAAAAGGAGCCTTGCATGATTATGTGAAACGATGTTTCCGCTCGCGCTCTGTTTCCCGGAAGAAGATGCGTCCTTTTGAGCTCGCTGTGAACTGTAATGGAAATTCACTCCCAACTCCTCCTCGTGATCTCGTTGGAGGAAACGAAAAAAAGTCTCCGCGATGTGAAAAAAATGTAATGCCATCTTGTATATGCAATCGTTGTATAATTATCACTGGTATACCGGTCGACGGATGAAAAAATAATTAAGTAAGACAATACCTTTTACGGAAGCCAATTATCTGATATCATCCCGCTACCGCAGAATTATTCTCTCCCGTGCTCGTTAACTACTTTTTGCTTTTGTTACTTATTGCCTCGCGGGAAAAGAAAGATTCCACTCGATGCGAACAATTCCATTACGCGCAATATATGTCAGAGTTGATATTTTTTTCATATCTGTTTAAAGTATTTTAGATGATTTTAATCACTTTGCTCCCGGTCGACAATCGATGTATTTAGAAATTAATAGTCTGTTATCTTCATGAAAAAAATATAAGTTTAGGTTTACATAGAATTTATATTGAAAATTCATTTATCAATCGAATTTATTTCGAGACATAAAAAATACTTTTCCAAAGTGCAATATTTGATAAATTCCAAGTATTTTGTTTGTGGTTTTACACTGATTTTTTTTACTTTTTTATGTCTCTTTTCAGAATATTTTATAAGAATTTAATAATAATTAACAAATCGTAAAAGCAACAACAATTTTGTTATTCCATTGAGCAACATTAGCATCATCTACTAAAAATCATTTGCTTCTGAACAAACAAACAAACCGCAAGCAACATTTTCTTCGTACTGTCGCCATAATTTAAAGCAGTCGACCACAGTAGATATCGCCGTCGAAGTATAAATCGTCCAAAGTGCAGCCGGGGCTCTGTGAATTCGAGCCGGCGATGTATGCTGCCGCGGTACACGAACAGTTAACAGGCCGATGAAGCTCTTGCTAATAATATCCCAGCGAAATATTCTCTTGCAGTGAAAAGGCGCGCGGGCGATAGGTTGCGTCCGATCGATAGCCAGGACGCGCGCTATAAATTCGGAAGTTTAATACCGCCGTCGGCTGATAGTTCTCGCCGAGTGAAACCACTCCCCATGCGGCGAATGTACGGGGTGAACCAGAACGTCGACTGCGGATACCAGAAATCGAAGTGAGGAGGATATCGTTTGCTTCGAGGCAAATTCTTCGAGACAAACGCCTCGAGTAGATAATACTCGGGTTGTAAATAGTTTAAAGTAAAGTAAGTTAATTTTTGTAATTTTTCTTTAAAAAAAGCACTAATCAATCTTCACAATTTTTACAATTAATGACATTAACACTGCGAACGTGTGCTTATAAATATTGATGTCTTCTCAAAAATTGATTGAGTTATTTAACGGTTTCTCTGACAAGTGCAGAAACGTGAAAAGATACAGCACACGCCAAGTTTTTTTAGTAAAAAAATTATTACTCGGAGAATAAATTCGAGGGAAGATACGCGAAGCTGGGCGCGCCCTGTGTACCTCGAGAAAATTGGCGAGCACGGTGTGAAATACCCGCGCGGAATATGCGAGCAGTGACGAGGTCATTCCGCGATGCTACGTCGGAAGGAGTGAATTACGTGAATTAAGAAATGCAAATAATTGCGACGTGTTTTTCGAGTGGCCGCGGCCGCGTGAGTTATGCGCGAAACGCGATAGAATTGCGAGGCGAACGATTGACGCGTTCTCTGGCGTCCTGCCAATTTCTGCGTTTCAATTTTGTCAGGGGAATAGAATTCGCCGATGTTTACGGGCCGTGTCCGCGTCTCGCGAGAGCTTTATAGGTGAAATTTCGAACAAGCGAAAGGATGGTTTTTCTGCATAGCTGTTCCTACGGATAATAATATGCGAAGTATTATTTCCGTATTGTTCTCGTTTGTTTTCTAGTCTTTTTGTTAACTCAAAATTGAATTAACAGAGCTAACAATAAGCTCAGGTTTTTTCCGGATATTTATTAAAAAATATACAGAAATTTTCTGTTATTTATTTTCAAAAATTTATCTGCCTGTTTACAAGCACATAACTAACAATAAATTTTATCTCTTGGAAATGTAAAATGTGATTTGAAACTGCGTGTTTTACACATATTTAAAACAGTAATAAATGTTTTATAAATTATATAATATAGTGCTGGTTTCAAGGTTTCTAACGAAATTAATGTGTGGAGTAAATGGATTTCAAGGTCTTGAAGCCCATGTATTCCACACGTTAAATTTTATACATTTTATATTTTATTACAAGTCACGTTTTTTTGTCAATATATTCTTTCGTAAAAATAATTAAATGAATTAATTTTTAGATTAAAAATATTTATTTTGTGGGAGGCTTAAATTGTATACATATTACACTATATAGAATCAATATAAGAAATATGACACATGCATTTGTTTTTTTAAATAATTTGTTTTTTCTTAACCTGAACATAGATATCAATTTTATTTAAGCTCTCATTTATGACAAATTTTGCGATAAGTATGCCTTTTTTTGTTGCAACTTCAAAGATGATAAGAACATATTTAAGGTAAAATTGCGTGTATAGAAAAAAAATTAGTTTAGGAAAAGGCAACAATTTTTTTTTATTGATTTTAGAACACATTGGGATTAGAATTGTAAAGGAATCATTGGAAGATAGTTATCAATGAGATATCGATGTTAAACGAATGAAATCTGCGCATAAACGAGTAATATGCATCCCGTAAATTATGCTAA